GCGACCGCCATTACCACACTAGCCCGGCAGGAATTGGGTCTCTCCTGACTTCGGTGGGATCCAGAACTCCCCCAGAGAGGCCAGTGTGTCTAAAGAGGGCTGTGGACTGCAGTGAGGGCTGAGGGCACGCTGGGGGCTGGGGAGTTACGAGCTGCCTCTCTTGGGGCATGGGGGTGGCAGTGGCTGGACACGTCCCTGGATGTCTGGTCTTACCTAAGGCAAAGGCCGAGAAGTCTGGGGAGGCCTCACATTGCTCCCCTCGTGCCTCCATCTGGCTGCAGAGGCGAGCCAGACGGCCTGACAAGCCGTGGGCTGGAAGGCGGCAGAAGACACAGGCCTGGGCTGTTGCCAGGAAAACCCCACCTAATGCCAGCAGCCACATGGAGGCTCCCTGCGGGCGGGGTGGGCTCTGATCCACCGGGTTGGGAAGGCCTCGGAATGCTCTGTGACCTCAGTTCCAGCCCTTTGCCTGCAGGTTCTAGTGTTCCAGAACAGCTGGAGGTTCTAGGGTGTTCCAGAACAAGGCCACTGCACAGTCCTTGGCTGGGCTAAGGCTGGAACCCTAGGAACGCTGGACCAGATGACATGCGCGACGGGACAGCGCCCCCACCTGGCTCTCAGCAGCCATTACGAGTTTGTCGTTTCAAAGCAATTTTAGTTTTTATTTTTGTAAATCATGACTGGTGATAAATAATGAGTGACTCCCCTGGGGAAGTCGTGCAGAATTATCCCATCCACTCAGGAGCCCAGAAATCCCTCCCCTTCCCAAAGCCTCCCCCACTCTCTCAAACTCTTCATCTCCTCTCTTTGCCCTGGGCAGCCTTGGGCTTCCCCAGCTATCTCCTAGCAACAGGCCCATGGTTGCTGCAGCAACCGAGTTCCATACAGGCCTCAGAGACCTAGCAAAGCCCAGAGACTTCTCTTAGCTCTCGCCAGAAAGAGCCTAGGGACGCAAAGCCCACAGCCCCACCCCCACCCCCACCTACGTGGCGAGGGTGCACATGTATGCACGTACACACACACACACACATGCATAACTCACACCCTGTGATTAAACTGTCAAGACACGCCCTGAGCTAGAACAGCTGATGGACAACCCCAAACAGGCCTGGACATGCAGAGATCAGAGAAGGCCCAGCGTATAGACACTGTAGCCGGCGACACAGATGGGAACCAGGAACCTGGGACCCACACTGGTGTCACGCACACCCACATGGAGAAGGAAGGCCAGTACCCAAAAAGACACCGCCCCCCTTGCCATGGCTAGCCCCACCATCAACACAGAACCCTTTCAAACACTGGGAATTCCACAGGGTGCTCTAGCCCCATTGCCGATGGGGATTCTCCTAGCCCCCTTAGGCTAACCTAGGGCAGCGTGTGGCCTTTCTGTACCCCTCATCGTGGCTTGGGACACAGCAAAGAACCTTCCTTCCCACATTCCAGAGTATTCTAGCCTTTCATTCATCAGGCCAGGCCACTCAGATTCAGAAGAAGAAGCTGTGGACCAGGGGACTACATTAGGGGTGAACCCAAATCCCCCCTAACCCTAGTGTCTGTCCCTTCAGGGTTCTGCTAGGCCTAGACCGGGCAAAGAGTTGCCCACTTCTCTTTTTTCCTTTTTATTAACTTCGCTGTAGGGCATGTGTGCTTGCTGGAGACAGAAAGAGAGAGAGACAGAGATAGAAGGTGAGAGATCACAGCCTGAAAGATGACCACACTGCAATTCCATCTTCTCCCTTCTCCTTGGGATTTTGGGCACCCACGCACATGTCAGCATGTTTTTCAAGTCGCTGGGTCTGGGGCCCGAAACAGTCAGCCATGTGGGATTCAGCACCTCAACCATGCCACCTGGCTCGTCCCTTCACTTTTCCAGACCCCTGAATACTGAGTTCCCACCAAAGAGACACTGGAGGTCACCAGCCTCCCGTACAAACAAGCCGAGGGAACTTCCCCTGACCCTCCCTGGGCCAGCACAGTCCAGTCCTCTGGACAACTTGTGACCCTCAGGTTTGGGAATTCTCGCCCACATCTGGGCTCCAGTCAGGTGCAGCGAGACCCCTGACTCTCATAGCTCCCAAGGCAGAGCCCCCTGGGCTGCCCCACTGCCTCTCCTCCCACAAGTCAAACAGGGCAGCATCTTCAGTGCCGGACGAAGCGCAGAGATCGGGAATTGAGCAGGTCTTCGGGGTCAGGGAAGACGGAGTCTAGGCGGAAGCCATGCTCCAGAGCCACCCGCAGCACCTCCTCCAGGAAGCTTGGGGTGCCCACCACTTCCCTCCGTTCCCCTGGCCCCCCAGTCCACAGGGGCTGCAGCCCCAGTCTCTGATACTCCACCTCAGGGAGTTCCACGGGGCGAGGGGCCCATTCCAGGTGAAAATGCGGGCCTCCTTCTGCTCTGTCCCCACTGGCCACACCAAATCGGGCCCGCATGGCACCCAGGCACTCAGGGTCGGTGCAGAAGAGGTTGGCTCGGAAGGTGTCCACCTGGACCGAGCTCAGCTCATAATGGTGCGGACCACGGCGAGCAGAGAAGTGCACCAGGCGGGGGCTGACGTCCACGTCTGCATGCAGCAGGGCAGCTGTGGGTGCAGGGGTGCCCCGAGAGGCCTCCAGTTCCCGTAGGGCGTCCAGAAGGGGCCGGATCTGGTAGAAGTCAGCCTCTGCCCTGAGAAGGGCTGTCTCTCCATACCCACGGGGCAGGTCCAGGCGGCCCAGCCGCAGGAAATTGAGGATGTGGCGGAAGGCTTTGCCATCGCGGTCAATGAAATAGTGGCCACCTCCTTGGGGGTTGAGGTTCGGGGGGATGGGAGTGCCAGCCCTAAACATGGCCCCCAGCATGGAGTCTGGGAAGCGGGTCAGGGTCTCCAAAGTGGTGGAATAGAGCGTGCCCCCCACATTCAGGGTCACGGGGCCCCCAAAGGAGGGGGGCGAAGAGGGTACAGGAGGAGGGGAAATTTTGGGGCGTTCAGGAGACACCAAGAGAAGAAAAGGCAGAACTTCCCTGGAGTTATGCAGAATTGGGTCTTAACGTTCAGACGCTCTGGGGTGGAGGCACAGTTTGGAGTAAAAGGCAGCGAGTTTGGCGTTCACCCCAGCTACCTCGGTGGTAGTGGGGGCTGATTTCAGGGCACAGAAGCCCCCCGACAGGTTGAGAGAACAGATGAAAAGAGCAGAAGGCAGCCCGAGAGGGAAGGGGAGCCTTCAGTGCAGACGTATCTGATTCTGGGTGGTCAGCGATTCCTTTCTGTGGTCTTCAGACAGGGTTTCCAGAATCCAACCAGCAGGTGACGTTGGCGAACACAGGGTGGACTCTTCAAGCCCCCAGCTTCCGAATTCCTGGGCAGATGGCTGTCGCCGTGGGCGAGTCCACTCAGGGCTCTGGGGAATCAGCCAGAGGCCTGGCCAGGCTCGGGTCTCGGGTCCCAGGAGATGGAGGCGGAGCTGATCCGAGAGGATGGCGGAGCGGCCCTGGGTCAGCTGGGGGGCCACCGTGTACGCTCGGGCCGAACCGGGAGTTTCCGAGGACTCTGATGGAAGCAGCCGGGAGTCTCGGGACTCAGACGCAACTGCCTTCCCTGGGTGTCGCCGCAGCTGCTGAGATCCTCTCCGCCCCCAGGAAGTGGCCTAAGGGCAGCGGCCCGGGGCCCTTTAAGGGACAGTCCCGCCCCTCGGCGCCCCACCTCCCCGCCCCTGCGAGGCTCGCGCTGCCGGGGTGGAGA